GGTTTCCAAGGAAGTAATGCATATGCTTCCTTGTAGTGAAAACTATTCCAAACAACAGTTCATATGATGATAATCTGTCTAGGTTGGGTAAAACTCTTGACACCACTGTTGCTGTAGCATTACTGCAGATAAAAGCTGCAACCCACCCTATGAGGTGGTTCACTATGACTAATAAATATTTTACACTCCCCACTTTTGGTAATTCTGTAAAATCCACATGAATACATTGAAATGGTTTTAAAGCTGGTGGTACCTCTTACCCATCTGTTGTTTTCTGACAGCATGTTCATTCACCTTTTTACAAACCAAACGTTTGTTTATAATTGATGTTACTAAAGGATATATCCCAATACAACCATAGCTTAGTTTAAAAGTTCATGTACAATAGCTTGAAGTCCCCAATGACTCCACCCATATTTTGCCAAATGATGTCCAGAGACTAAGGGTTACAATGCATTAAGCAATAGCCATCATAAAGTCAGCTTATTGCCCCCCACAAACTGGGTCCTCAATTCACCTACCTTAGAAAGGATGGAAGGCTGAGTCAACCTTGAGCCTGGTGAGATTCGAATTTACAGTAATTGCAGACAGCTGGTGTTAAATTACAATGCATTTATCCACTGAGCTATCCAGGCTCCCTGTCCATAGAGCTTAATTTAATGAATACAATTCAAAGGTTTGAGCAGACCAATTTCGAGGCAATTTGTCTCCAGGGGGTGTCCCTCCAAATCAGGTCTTGTTTTTGTATGTAAACCAATTATTTCAACACCATAATGTTCTCATCCAAGGTGATCCATTGATCTGGTGTTGGTTAAGAACTGTGCTTGATTCATATTGAGATCTGTAGGTAAAATCAAAGCTGTCTGCTGCATTAAAATTGTTTCATTTTTGTTTAGAATCTTGAATCAGATAACCACCACTGAAGGATAGTTCTGACTTGATGCGGGGTGCTTACAATGAGGGCTCCCCAAAGGTCAATTTCCTACTTTCTGAGCCAACACCCCTCGTGCAATTCAATTTGTGTGTGTGTGTGTGTGTGTGTGTGTGTGCCTACAAAGAGACTGAATGGCTTTTCCAAATTTGGCAAACCCAATACAGGAGCCCTGGTTAAAGCCTGTTTCAAATTTTCAAGGCTTCCTCTTTCATGTCCCTCCCATTTCAAACTCCAAGGTCCAGATTCAATTAATTTGCATAGAATTATCTTAATTCTTGCTTGTTTACAGATGGAGGCGGAGATGCCACCCCTCCTTTCTATCAGGAGTGATTTTTGTTTATTACTCCTGTTGGGGGGGGGAGTCTTTCCCTTTAAAGATTGCTGAAAGGCAGAGCTTTCCCTTCCTGAATTCAAAACTCCTGGAATCAGTTTATTGTTCCTAGTAAGGCAAGCAAGAAACAAACACATCTTTTATTCTTCCTTTGATGTGGAAAATAAGGTGGTGTCTCAGTTTCTTAATGGCCCATTGGTAAAGGTGGGGGCTGAACTCTGCCTGAGTTTCTGCCTATTTTCTTTAGGGGAATTTTCTTGTGCTTTTAATATTGAGCTTCTCAAATCTTCCAACACTCCCTTCACTACTTAAGTGTATTCAAATGCTTTGTTCACTTAATCTGATCTCTGTCAACGAAAAACACCACTTCCTCTTCTTTGGATCGGGCAATCTTTAACACTGTCTTCCCTGCCCATATCACCACTTCTCTCCTACTTCTTAGCACTTCCACATTTCAACCTGCCAACTTCCATAACTTTCCAAAAACAAATCACATACCTTCTCCTTTCCATCAATTCTACTTTCTCTAACTCCTTCTTATACAATTCTCCTACCGCTGTCAGCACAAGTCTGTGTAGACAAACTTAAAGGCAACTTTCTGACTTCCCTTAAAACTTCCTCTCACCCGTCAACTACCGTATATCCTTTCTATAAACAAATGAGCTCCTCAGCACCAATTATCTAATCTCCTTGTAAACTGAAGTGGACAAAAACAAGCACACTCTCGAGGCAGAATCCAACACCCTAGACAAAAATGCCACTGAATCTCTCCCACCACACATCGCAATTTCCAACTCATCTCTGTGACAATTCCCAAAAGGGCAGTAACTTATGCTACTAGCAAGCAAACAAACAAACAACAATGCTATATGATGGAGCACCTAAGCATTCAAAATGCACAGACATAAGGACATTAAAATAAAACAAACAATCTAAATGAGGTACTTTAGATCAATGCTCTGAAATATATTTGGATCAAACTTTAGCCTCAATTCTCTGCCTTTAGTAAAGTGCAAGTCAGATTTAAAAAATCTTTCAAAATCATTTCTTTGAGATAGAATAAAATAAGAATAAAAATAATTTTATTTCTATACCAACCTTCTCCCGAAGGACTCAAGGCGGTGTACAGCCTATTTTGTTTAAAAAAACAAGACAGACACCAATTTAAAATAATTAAAAATATTAAATGGATTCGGCTCAATTTAAAACCCCAGAAATTTAAAACATCCGATTTAAAATTATGTTGCTAACCCAGCCTGGCGAAACAACAGGATTCTGAGTACAGGTTTAATGAAGCGTTTTTAAACCTCCAAAAATTTCCAGAAAAGAAAAAAATAAAAATAAAATAAAAATGTATTCAGAGCAGAAAGGATCTATGTATCTGCATAGCTTTCATATGTTAATGAAAGAGGCTTCGCAGAAAGAGGAGGAGGGATGGGGGGTGTGAGAGAAAGGAGAGAAAAAAAAGTTAAAAGGAACTGTTTCTCTCTTACAAAGGAAAAGGAGGGGGGAAGAGGGAAAAAAATGTTTTACAGCATGCAAGGAAGCACGCCTCGCTTCCCTCTTCCATTCAGCATTCTTACAAAAAGCAACACATTCAGTATTTCTCTAATTTCTCACTTTATCAACACACAGGCTTTTCATATTTGTACTGCAATCAGACTTCTTTAAACCAATTTCACATACAAAAAAATCCCACCATTACAATCATCTCAAACATCTCCCACAGCCTCAAGCACAAATCTACTTTGCTGGCAGCCACACATATCACAATCAATTCAATTCCATTCAAATTTACACACTATCATTATATATATACATATATATTTAACAGAAATCACACCAAATTGATCAAGTCATATCTGTTTTCCCATTTAGACAGGCTTCACCTTTTTAATTGCCTGCTAAACCCCGGGAGGGAAGAACAGTAAACAACAATTCTCTGGCTGTTTAAGAATGTCAGTTTATCAGAAAATTTATAACACTGCAATTAGTTCTTCTCTTACTACACATAAGATTACACACAATACTTAGTTCTTTAATTCCAATACTTAAATACCAAATTCCAGAGACTTCAGGATGCCACCTGGTCCCCCAGGGGGTTGATCAAACCCCACTCTTCCACCCCTTAAAGAGTAGGCACCTCTAAACAGAGAGACTTTAACTCTCTGATTTATACTTACCTGTTTTCTTTTCCTTTTTCTTCCTTTCTTTCTTTTTTATGTATTTTTGTTGAGTCTCTGTGTCTGATTAACCTTCATGGATTCTTGACTGGCCTGTTTTCGTCAGCGGGTTTACGGCACCTCCTCACTGAATCTCTGTGGACTTCAAGAGAGTCCTAATGGCCGGCCAGTGGATTTTCCTTGGAGAGGCGTCGATTCCCGCTGAGGCAGGCTGTCTGGTAGAACAAAAGTTCTCTGCCTTGTAGTCCCATCTGCAGGGTGCCATAAATGTTGTGGATTTAATAAGACAAACACAACTTTTAGATTAATCAGAGACAGATTTTATATATTGCGCAATAGGTTCAAAGCTCTGTACATGAAGCGTTGAACAAAGACAGAAATTAGGTACAATGGTTTTATACCCTTCTAGACAAAGGATTCTGTTAACTCAGCAATTCATATGGTCATATACATTTATCATTTTTAATTGACATTTCCTAATTACAGAGTTTGCAGAACAGTTATAATAATTCTTCTAAAAAGTTACTGAAGCATATTTTTCAAATTATCTCTTGTTGAAACAACAAAGTGGACATCTCTGTTAATCTGACCTTCAAGGTGTAAATCACGTAGACTGTTCTTATCTGTGACAACTGAGAGGCCTTGAAGTAAGCATCCTACTGGAAAGGAATGTCCCTGCCTGTGTTCTGAATATAATTGCAAGTAATTTCTCTCTTACAGTATTAAGAACAAAGAGGGCCCTTCAGTGACTATCTAGCTGGACCCGTGTTTATTGTATTATTTTATTTTTATTTGTTACCTGTTCCACCATAGGAAAGCTTTGATACAACTGCTTATATATGTTTCCAAGACAAAGGGTTTGGTGAGCACATGCATTTTTCCATATATGGTTAACATACACTTGTTATATGATAATTGACACTTCCTAATTACTAAACCATTATTTTCTAGTTTATAAGATTATCTTTAGCTAGACAACCTTCCTTAGTTCTGTAATTACTAATACGGGAGATTTATTGCTGTCCTTAGGTAATAAGTAATTCTTTGTAACATACATGTCCTTGTCTTTGACAGTGAGGCCCCTCAGATGTTTTCCATATGGCTGTCCTTCCGTGACAGCTAGGCCTCATCAGAAGATATATTACCAATAATGGGATTTAGCTGATTTTTAATGTAACTTCCAAACAAGCACATTTCGCCCTTACAATAATGTCAATAGAGAAGGTCCTTTAGTGTTCCTGTATGATTCCTACTTTATTCACATTACAAAGATACGTCCTGGTTTCCAGAAACCAAATTTGTGGCTAAAATGTGCCAAGAAACACAGTTAAAATTGCCTGCATTGGAGGTTAAATCGCAGTGTGTACTTGTTATCTGATGTTTTTAATTTAGCATCTCATGTGCACACAGTTTAAATGCCCCACCTAAGACAGGAGACAAAATCTTATTGACAATTATTGGAATTGCAACCTCAAAGAAAAACAGGTAATCTATTCCAAATGTTCAATTTTATAAGAAGCAAATGTTATTGTGGAAAAATTACAGGAGAACATTTACAAAATGCACAACATGTTTATTGAAAATAGATATTTTATAAAACACTGTTCAGAACAAAGTATCGTGAATAAATAATTGCTGCCCTTAGATATTTTTTTTTTAATCAAATAGCTGCAAACCAAACACGTAAAAACTAGTATAACAATTGTGTAACAATACATAGCTTGAGTGACAATTCAAGTACTGATGCAAGTACTTGTGAAGCCAAGAAAAAAATAGTATTTCAGCCCTGCATCTGAAACACTAGTAAACCTAAGAATTTCCTCTTAAAATTTTTTAAAGATAATGTTCAGATCCCCAAGCTTAAGAGTCTTAAGGGAAAAAAAGGATGCTTTCATAAAGTATTTAAATAATTAATCATTCTTCTCTGTGCTAAACAATCTACAACTCTATTCCTTAACAACTAGCTAATACTTTTTCAACATAACAAACATACTATAAAACAAAAAACATGCATAGCCTTTTCATAGTTAGCACACAGGTGAGTTTATGCTTTGTAATTCTGCAAAAACATAAGCATTTAATTTAATCTGACACAACAGACAAGTCAAATGTTTGCTTGAGGGCAAGATGAGAATATTCAAACATTTTGTGTCTATGGTCTGTCTATCAGTAGTTGTTAGCTTTATATTATTTTGAAATTGGTTACAGAAACAGAATTCTCACCCCAGTAAAATCGATATTATATTTGTCTTAATTTCAACATCAAAAGTCAGTAAATAGGGAGGAGAGAAACCAGTAAAGGAAATGTTTTGAAGAAAAGAATGCCTAGAGGCATGCAAACAACACAACCCTGTTTCATCCCATTCTGGAAGTGGAAGATGTAGTTATTTTACTCACACTAACAAATGCAGAATGGGAGAAGTTTTCAATTGAACGAGTACAAATGGTAAAATCCCTGGAACTCTGATTAAGAGAAAATTACTTTATGAAACTGGCACTGATTGGATCTAAACAGTTAATTTCTTTTAAAATATATTTATGCTGCCTAATCATGTATATGCCGATTTCATAGTTTTTGAAAGAAAAAAACCAGAATTAAATACGTAACATTTTAAAAGAGTGCTCTGCAGGGCTCATATTTGTGTTCCTGGAGTGTACCTTCAGTATTAATCTCTTAAAAATATCTCTTGCTTAATGGGAATCATTGGGGAGATAATACAATTGCCGTGAACACCAACTGAATAAATCAAATGGGGCTTTGTAGATTGGAGCATTGAGGCAGGGCCATCAATTTTATGTAGTTTGTTTTAGTGTGCAACTTAAAACTATGAAATGTAAGACAACAGCTTTGCAAAATTCATTAGAAGTATTTAATGTCAACAATAGCACCACTTGCATAGGATCAGGTGTTTTTTTAAAAAAAATTCATCTTGAGTGATCAATAATAAAACACGTAAAGCTATTCAGTTGTAAAAACATTAGATCAAAATGTAATAACGTGCTTAGAAGTGATAGAACTATGTATGTGTGTGGGAAAAATGCTCTTGCATTAGTATACTGTCACAGCAAGTACTTTATCTTTCTTCATGTGACCTGCAAATATTAACATATCAGAAAATGTGTGTTTTTCAACTAATCAACAATTCCATTTCCATTTGGTAATTTCATAGTTCTAGATCAAAAAGTATAAATGTTAACTTTAAGATCTATCTAGTTCTTAAAGTTATCTGGTGGGAAACTTTACTATAATAGGAAAATTGTTTTTATAATTATAATGTACCTTTGGAGAACTGTGTAATCTGCAGGCAAGTTTTTATTGAACTTTTGCTATGTTCATTTTACTTTGTTATGGAGAAAGCAAGTGATTTCCTCCTTCATTTCTGGCTCAGTAAATCTATTCTGATATTCAAGTATCAGGAAAATGCAGCTGAACAAAGATATGTATCGTGATTATATAATCTGCAAAGCAGCATAATATTAACTATTCTACAATATATACTACCCCAAACTCCAGAAGAAATGTTTTTCATTTTTAGATCTGTAATCTGTTGCCAAAAATACTGAAGGTCTTCTACATGTCCATGAGAAGTAATCATTTTGTCATAAATGCAAGGATGATATGGAGCCTTTCCTCCCCCACTAAAGAAGGGGTGATTCTGTGGTACAATTCCCACTTTGTTGGCACAAAATCCCATGAAAACATCATCTATGTAAAAACTTGAATTAAGAGTCTGTGAGGCTCCGTATACTTTAGCGACTACGTCTCTGGATAGAACATATGCAGCTCCAGCTGTGTAGTCAGGATAGACAGGCCATGGATACATTTTATAGGAAACATAATATTTGCTTTTTTTATTCCTCATGGGAGGTGCTGCACGATGGACGTGCCCAACCCAAACATCCTGAGCCCCAATTTGTGCTAGTTTTCGGAGGTATGCAATAAGATTTGGCATGTGGATAAATATGTCATCATCGGCTGACATGACAAACTTGGCATGAGGGCAGAACTTGTTTGCCCAGCTGAACTGCAACAGTAATTTGTAGGTAAGATTGTAAAAAGTATCCAAAAAGTCTTGTTGAATCAGATCACCATGCCTCTCGTCTTCCTTTTCCAGCCTCATTTGCATTTGACTTCTCAGTGAAAAATTTCTTGATTGTCCTAAAACAAATAAGATTTTTATGTTGGCATTCAGATAGTGATGAACGTAGTCTTCATTACCCCATGTTTGTCGAATTGCATCTCTCCTGTGGTAGTTTTCAGGTGAAGTCTTTACAAAGATCAAGAGGAGAACATCTTGCCCTTGACATTTCTCCTCATGATTGATCAAATATCGATGCCTTGCTACCCTGTTACATCTGCTAGTAGTTAGGTTGTCATTCACAAAAGCATAGCTGTTTATGAGGTATTTGTAGGAGAGAGATTTCATATAGTGCACAAAGCTAGGGTTATCAATTTCTACCCAAAAAAACATGAAGCACAGGACAAAACAAGTGGCAAAAATGTGCACAAACTGATATTTTCTAACTCTTCTAGAATTAACATACATTCTGGTTCACTTCTTTATATATGATTCCAATGAAAGATTTGGATTTTTAAATAAGTTCTCATATGAGGCTTCAACATTTCTTTTTCAGGAAAAGTGTTCATTTTAGATGCATCTGAGTTATTGGAGAGTCACGTCAATGAAATCCAATATATTCACTTTTAAAGTCATCTTGTTTCCAAAGAATTTTGGTGAATGTAAGAGGACTTTGACAACATACAAAGATTCTCGTTGCCTCTTCACCTGATGTAATATCAGCTCAAAACTGAATAGTTACAGCACCATCATCTGCAAAACACAAGAAAAACAAAATTCATCTTAAGTATAGTTCATAATTTCTATATGATATGGTAACAGAGAGAGATAATTACTTCACAGACTCAAGCATCTGAGAATTGGTCTTGCCCAATATGGAAATTCTCAATCATTCTGGTCATGGTAGTCCCAAAGATACTTTTTCTAAAAGGCAACTGGGCTTTTGAAAACATTTCTCTCCTCATCCAAGAAGCTTCTTCAGTTCTAACTAACTGGTGGGAAATGGAAGGATTTATTTTCTTTGCAGTTATCTGGTTATTAGCATTCTGAGGGTTGGTCATTAACTCTCTAACTCAAATTCTGGGAATGTCTATGGAGATTCTCCGTCATCCAGGTCATGGTTGTCTCAAAGGTGCTTTTTCAAAAGGCAACTGGATTTTTTCCTTTAAGATATTTTGCTTCTCATTCAAGAAACTTCTTGGAATAGAAGCAAACGTCTTCAAGGAAAAACAAAGAAAGTCCAGTTGCCTTTTGAAAAAGCACCTTTGAGACATCCAATTCTGGGAGTTGAAGTCCACAAAGATTGTAAAGTTCTCACAGTTGCCCACTCCTGGTCTATAATAGTCAACACTCAGGAGGAACCTGGTAGCACTTTTTCTGGCTAACCAATTGTATTAAAAGGCATCCACTTTCCCAAGCCTGGCCTCTGATGGCCTTTTCTTTCCTAATGTTACTCCTGCCTTCAGAGCCTTTTGGAGACCAGTCCTGGCTTATCTACAATAGAGAAGAAAGGTTCACTCGCAGAAGACCATCATTCTCCAAAACTAAGATTTACAAAACAAAACAAGATCTGTCCTCAGGGCAGGCCATTTCTCCAGTCCTGGGGACTCTTGGGGGAAAGCAAGGCATAAACCCCAAGGCCAAGAGCCCCATACTGGAGGATGTGTGTGCATACAAGTATATACTGTACATAACAGGTATGTGGTCATGCTCATCTTCCAGGCTGAGAAAACCTACATTTTTTTTACTCTCCTCTTCTAAAATCATCCCTTCACCCCCCTTTAAGTGTCAGGATGTTGAGGGAAAGCAGAAAAGGGGGATGGCAGATTGTCTTAGAAAATAAGCTGTTCTCCCTTCTTTTTAATTTTGCAAAGAGTGTAAGAAAGCAATCATACAATTGCTTTCTTACACTCTTTGCAAAATAGTAGAAAAATGGAGGGCAAGGAGTAAAGTACAGGGTTTTAAAAACACACCAGAATCCTTTTAATTCTTCTATCTATCTATCTATCTATCTATCTATCTATCTATCATCTATCTATTATCTATCTATATATCCATCCATCCATATATCTATGTATCTATCTCTATCTATCCATCCATCCATCCATGTCTGTCTATCTATCTATCTATCTATCTATCCATCCATCCATCCATGCATCCATCCATCCATACATGCATGTATGTATGTATGTATCTATCCATCTATCCATCCATCCATCCATCCATCCATCCAACCTAACCTAACTAACCTAACCTAACCTAACCTAACCTAACCTAACCTAACCTAATCACCTATTATTTATGCTATATATATTAGCTAGCTAGCTATCACTATATTTTGCTGTGCTTTTTAATTCTCGTAGCTTCTCAGAGTCACTTAGGTGATAATGATGGTTGCACAACCAACCAACCAACCAAATAAATAAATAAATATACATATAGAAAAACAGGCAGGCTGTCCAGGCTGACAACGTGTTAAGATTCCTCTGCCTATTTTCTCAATAGAACCCACATGAACTTCAAGGTGAAGTATGCTTTTTAAAATATACACACACATACACACCCATTAAGTAAATACTGGAAAATGGGTGTCTGCAGGCTGTAGTAAAAAAAAAAAAAAAGTCAAGATGGCGGCCATAACGGTCATAAAAACCACGCCCTTTTTTTTAAAAAAAAATGTGCTGCAGAAGGAGAGCTTTGATTGGCCCATCACAGCCGCCATCTTGACCTTTTTTGGCCATTTTGTTCAGCCAAATCTGGAAGCGTCGGATCGAATCAAAACATGAACCCTTTATCCAAGAAAACCCCCAATTTTGGACAGGGCACAATGTTTCACGTGGAATGGTCAGCCGAGAATGGTTTCCCAAGAGAATTCTTCCCTGTCTAAAATCCAACATGTCCTCCCACAGCCATCTTGATTCTCTTTCCCTCCCACCCCCACACCTCTTGGCCACCAGCTCTCTTTTGTTGTCTGTTTTGGCCATCTTTGGTTTTGGGGTCTCTCCCTAAAACTTGGTTTCACCTTCAGGGGCAAACTAAAGAGGAAATGAGGGCCAGTTTCCTCAGCAGAAATATGGAAACTGTCTTTGTCTTCTGCCTTTTTTTTAGCATTTGCACTTGAGGTGATCGCCATTACATGGGCCCAACCATGCTTAGAGGACTAGAAGGCCACATCACTCCTGAGATAACAAGTCTTTGATACTTGCCCCCAGGATCTTCTGGTGGTCTCCTATCCTTGCAGGCCCTAAGCAGGGGCAAAAGCATCATTCGCAATCAATGGGGCCTCAGTCCAGGCCTCCTGTTGCTTGCAGCAGTGAGAAGATGTTGAGGCAATTTTGCCTGGCATAGCTTCCTGTGCTGAGGATTATGGGCAATGAAGTCCCATACATCTAAAGGGTATCATATTGGGAGCGGTTGATAGGAAGAAGTCATTCCCACCCCCCCACCCCCTTAGGTCTTGTTTGGCTGTCCCTATTTTCTTTTTATGAGAGCACAAAATTAATGGAAAAGCCACCCTATAAGAAAGATTTCAGGGGCTCCCAAAGACACATTTTATTTTTCTTCATCTGCCACATTGTGAGCTCTGCACAGAGCAAACTTTGATCTCCAGTTTTGGGCATCCTTCGTTTTGGTTTTGTTCCAACTTGGCTGCTAGTACAAAGTGTGCCAAATGCCTGACCATCATTTGTACAGTTATTATTTTGACCAAATTAGAAACTTACTTTCCATCCTCTGCTACAATTAATTAATGTGTTTCATTTATTTTAATTTATTTGTCACATTTAGAAACTGCCCATCTCCCTCACAGAGGGACTTTGGATGGTGTACAGTTAACGTTTTAAAACATAAAAAGTAAATAACATAAAAAAATTTAGCTTGAGAAGCTTTGAAATCACTGGAAAGGGAAATACACTACTTCACACAACGTCCCATTCCAGAGTCCATTCACACAACTTCTGAAATCACCCATTTTTTGGCTTCACACAATATGTTAAACCATAAACAACCAATCAAGCCATGTTTTCTCAATATGCTAAGTTAGGAAATAAATGAAGTTTAACACTAACCCAATTTAAATTGCGTGGATGCATCTGCTTAGTCTTTACATGTACTTTTCTTATTTTTTTTCTGCGAGTCTAGCAAATTCTGAATCACCAAAAAGCTATTCTTCATACAAACCTTGTTAGTAACTCTTGGGATAACAATAACAACAACAATAATAAACTCGATAAATGAACAAAAATTCCAAATCTAGTCTAAACATCTGGCTTCACAAGAAACCAATAATAATAATAGTAATAGGTGCTTTGGATGCAATCCCAAAATATCTGGAGCATCATTTGAATACCATAGGCATTGACAAATTCATCACTGGTCAATTGCAAAAGGCAGCTTTATTTGGAACAGCTTACATTCTGCAATGATACCTGTAACACCTATGTCTGCCTATCCCAGGTCCTCATGAAGGACTCGATAGGCAGACAAAAATGCCAAATCCAATCTGAATATCTGCCCTCATTTACAGCAGTCAGCAGCCCATTGCATGCAAGGTGAGGGATTATTATTTCCCTTCAATATCTTTATGAAACAACACAAAACAACTATTTTAAATATGTCAGAAAAACACTGAACAGTCTTGTAGTTATTCCTCCTATGTCCCAAACAAAGACGTTTGGAGTATTACAAGCTAAATGAGGATAGGAAACCATCCAAAATCTTTGACTGTCAATATAAATCACTCTGGAGGATGGAACTGATGCAGAAAATCTGCATTTTTTTCAATACTGCACAAAGTCTGACCACATTCAGTTTCGCAAAGCCAACTGAAGGCTTGAAAGGCGTTTTCAAACATTATGCCATTTATATGCTTGCTATTGTCCATAATGCAAATGAATTATTTATATATTAATTTCATTCACAAATGGGAGAAACTTTACATTTGATTGTTATGTGGAAATTAACCCAACAAAACCAGAAGAGTTCAATTTCTTAGTTTACCAAGGTTTTCTTTATATCTATATCTATCGATCGATAGGTCAATAGATTATTGCTGTTCTGCCAATTGCAGCACCACTGTTGCTCTTCTAGCAAAACAGAAAATTACGTTAGCATAAGCTTGTGTTTGTGACCATGAAAATTGTGACATAAATATAAATAATTTATCATTTCATAAAACATAAAATTCAGATTTAAAATAAAAAGCAAAGGAGGCTTTTTTTTTTTAAACTGCAGCTAAACACCATTCAGGAGAAGAAAGGGAATCTTGAGTTTTTCGTGTGAAAATAAAGAACCTTTTAATATAAACTAATGGGCAAATTATTTTATTTCAATAGATTGTCCAAATTGCTATTTCTAGCACAGACCAACACATCCCAGGTTTGGAGCCTGTCCTGTGCAACATAAAATGAGCTGTACAAGCAATTTGGCACAACTGAAATCAGCACATTTTACAGCACAAGTCATGCTCTATTATTTTGGCTACAAAAATTACACAACACATATCAAATGAATGAAACAACTCAGCAAGGAAAATACTAGAGATTTCTTCTGTTGCTGACAGATAAAATGGTATTATTTCATTCAATCTATTAATTGGATTTCTATTGTAACTATATAAACTAACAATTTAATTAACCACTAAAAGGTTAGAAATATTTGAGAACTTCCACCTCTATCTCTACTACTATTTTCAGTGATTGAATATTTTCTGTCATATCCAAACAATGTCTTGCTTAGGTAACAATGCAGGAAATAAAATCAACAAATCAATCATATTTCCATTTACCCACTCACTTCCTACACAAATTAGGAGTCCAAAATGTTATGCTGCTGTTTCTGAAGAACTAATTCATTTAAATTATATTTACATATTTGTACCATTAGTAGAAATATGCTTGCATCCTGCAGGTAAAAACCCAGTGATGGCACCCAACTTTGCAAGTATTTGTGTGAATTAGATGCACATTAAGCATGTCAGCTTTCACCCCCTTAGTGTGTATGCACAGCCAAAATATTTTTCCCAATTGCCCTGAAATAAATTGAAATTGACCCAGCTAAATGGTTTCAACCATTCTTTATTCCATAATCCAGACTCTGCATATATGACTTAACATACTCTTGTAAATAATATTAATGAAATATGGCATGGCATAATTATTGCTACCCTTAGAAATTAAAAGACATTATTGGATTTTAATGACTTCTCAAGCAGACTATTTACTTTAATTGCTATCACAGGTATCTTCGATCTCATAATCAGATACTCAGCCTGCTTGAATGGAGAAAAATATTCAAGTATCAATAGAGGAAAGTATTTGTAGTGTCCTTGGTGCTTTTTGAGCTTCTTGTTTTCTTGCAGATGTTTCATTACCCAAACTAGGTAACATCATCAGTGCTGGTAGGAGGTAGGGTTTGTTCTCATTTATATTCTAGTGGCTTGCCCTGTCAGTGTTGGTAGGAATTCCTGGAAACCCGGCAAATTGGTCATCAATAAGCACATAGACATAAACAGCATTTACTACCATTCAAAAGAAACAATCAACAAGCCAAAAAGGAAACAAAAAGACCTAAACACCTTCCATCAGTAAGGTCGGCAGTTCAGCGTTTTGAATCCCTAGTGCTGTGTAATGGGGGTGAGCTACCGTTCCTTGTCCCAGCTTCTGCCAACTTAGCTGTTCGAAAGCACATAAAAAATGCAAGTAGAAAAATAGGGACCACCTTTGGTGGGAAGGTAACAGTGTTCCGTGCATCTTTGGCGTTTAGTCATGCCGGCCACATGACCATGGAGATGTCTTCAGACAGCACTGGCTCTTCGGCTTTGAAACAGAGATGAGCATCGCCCCCTAGCGGGAATGACTAGCACATATGTGCGAGGGGAGCCTTTACCTGTATGTATGTATGTAAGTAAGTATGAAGGGGTGAAATCCAGCAGGTTCTAACAGGTTCTGGAGAACCAGTAGTGGAAATTTTGAGTAGTTCAGAGAACCGGCAAATACCACCTCTGGCTTGCCCCAGAGTGGGATGAGAATGGAGATTATGCGATATCCTTCCCCTGCCACGCCCACCAAGCTACGCCCACAGAACCAGTAGGGGAAAATTTTGAATTTCACCCCTGTATGTATTTATGTGTGAGTGTGGGTGTATATATGCATGTAGCATATATATGTGTATAGTTTTGAGAGCAGGCAACAAAATTTCATTTTTAATGTGCGCCAGTGTTCCCACAGTAAAAAATGGCAATAAAGGTTATCTATCTATTAACACCAAGATTAATATCAGACTGACAATCAAGCAGTAAACAATATCCCAGTCTAGGAACAGCCAACCAAGCTAACAGTAAACAGCCCAGCCTAGGTCCACTCCCACCAACACTGATAGGCAAACCACTGAAATATACACCGAGAGCAAACCCTAACAGCAATGATGATGTTACCTAGTTTGAGTAATAAAATGTCTGCAAGAAAATATCAAACCTAAGAGAGCACCAAGGACCCCTCATACCCAAGTATTTTGTATCATTGCATGCAGCACAATTAACAAGCAGAAGAAAAAGAAAAGCAGAGAGTTGCCTGCAGAGGAAAAGAAGGCAATAGCCAGGGAGGACAATAGGAATAGCACTTAGACTTATATACCGCTTTACAGTGCTTTACAGCCTTCTCTAAATGGTTTAGAGTCAGCATATTGCCTCCAATAATCTGGGTCCTCATTTTACCACCTTCAGAAGGATGGAAGGCTGAGTCAACCTTGAGCCGGTAAATATCGAACTGCCCAACTGCAAGCAGCCAGCAATCAGCAGAAATAGCCTGCAGTATTGCATTATAATCACTGCTGCCACCATGGCTCAGGGAAGGAATTAAAAGGCTACAAAGAGCTTTATGTTCCCAGGACCATGGATGCTAGTATTATCAAGAAGGT